TTTCTAGATTTTCTTTACCTTCCCATTTATAGTTGTGCATAAGGCTATGTTGAAAACAAACAGTCATAAATTGATTTTTTAATGGTCTACTAATCAATTCTCTTAAATCTTGTTCAATATTCTTGCTAAAATGAGGAAATTTTTCCCTCATATCTACCATATTTGGTGAATTCTTTCCATTGCTGAATTGCTTAAATTCAACTTCCTCTTCTTCACTTCTAGATTTTTTAATTCAGTAATTTTTGGATAGTTGCTTTTTCAATGTTTCAATTTCATTTAATAATTCTTTATTTGCTTGTTGTTGTTTGTTTATAATGTTTACCATGATTTTTGTTAATAAATACTTAATATCTTTCTACAAAAGACAAGAATACCTTTTTCATAATATTCACCCATTTGTGAAAGATGAATACAAAGATATTACTTGCCCAAAACCAATTTATGCTGACAACAAATAGAAAATTTAAAAATAAACTAATAAAATAATTATATACTTAATAATGCTTTTATAAAAAGTCTAAAGGAGATGGTGTTAAAACTAAAATAGATAAAGATTTGATCTCTTCAAAAATATCTGCTTTCTTAGTTTTTAATAAATTGGATTCAGTAAAAGAACCATTAGCAACCTCTTGAGTTTTAACAACACCAAGATTAGATGCTTCAAAAAGAAAATGTTGATATTTCTGTATGCATGGTAATTTCTTAAAATAAATTCCTAAAATAGCTTTAATATCTAAATATTGAAAGCCTTTTCCACCTTCATAACACTGGGTTTTATTTGATCCAGCTGGACTAGATCTTTTCACTACATCAACCACATGACCCACACAATCTACACTTGTTTTTCTGTAGATTTTTTTAATCAATCCAAAACTACCATCACATTTGAATTTGGTATGCCCTGGAATCATGAAATCCAATTCAATACTTTCATAATAACCACAAATTATTAGATACAAATAAAATCAAATAGTCACATTATTTTTATTTTGTCCCCCTAGCATTATCACAAGTAATCTTTAAATGCTTTTCACCTTTGTTCAATTCCTTAATTCCATCAAGTGTGCCATTAGGACCTTTTCCTATAATTTCATTTTCATCAAGAACATAATTAATTTGTTCCCTTACTGCTTCATCTTGAATACCAAATAAATGGACTTTACATGGACTATGATAATAAATTTTACTTACTTGTTGATCAGAATGTGGTGCATGAACATTTTGGGCTCAATCATAACTATAATGAGCAGTAGCATCAATACTGCAATATTGTGTTTTACCTTGGGAATATTTTGATTGACCAATTTCCTTTGTTCTTCAGCTAATTTGGTATTTTTATTATAATAATTTCTTTCTAATTTGGCCTTGGACAGATGTTCTTTAAATCTTTTAAGTAAATCTTTAGCTTCTCCCTCTTGGCAAGCATTGTAATGTAAACCATTTTGAAAATATTGACAAGTATCACACAAATCAGTCCTTGGACTTATAATTTGAATTTCTGGTGTCAATTGATGTCATAACTTCCTGAAGGCATCATATTTTAAGGATTTCGAATTATTATCTTCTTCTAGACCAGCTAGAAAGTTTCTATGTACTGATTTATAACTCATTTTGGCTGGTAAAAAGACAATTGACTGAGTTATTCTATTGATACTTCTTCCTGGACTTGGGTAATCCATGAACTTCTGCATAATTTTCCAGAAAATTCTTTACTACTTCTGTAACATTTATCAATTACCATTTTGGTTTTCCATTGAGGTATCTTTTTTACATTGCCATGAACTCTTGCTAAAAGACCATTGTTGATCAGATGACTTCTAATATTTTCAAAATAAGTTCTACCAATTCCTAGCATATTTAAATAATTTTCTTGACAAAGAAGTGTATTATGATCCCAGTGGTAAAAATTTCTTTTATTAAATATGTCTTTCTTTTTAAGGCATCTGCTAGTACTTATTGATCCACCATCCATTGCTTTAATCTGGACCATCAAAAATATGTCTTGTTCTGATTTAGAAAGTGCTTGAAAGGATTCTCTTAATTCTGCAAATTGTTCATTGGGAATTTTTGAAGAACATCCACATTTGCAACCTTTTTCCAAAAAATTTATTGACTTTTCATATTCATTAGAACCATTATGATTATTATTTACATTATTACTTTTCATATACACTTATCCCTATATATATAATTTTATGTTCACTTTGTAATTTTAAGATATATTCTCAATAAAATTAACTAGGCATGAAAGATAAAGGAGTCATTATCCATAAAAGAAATTATTTCATTAAGATTGATTGGCTAGCCAAAAAGTTTGGTCTAAATTAACATTAAGTTTATTGACCATAATATAAAACAAGTCAACAAAAATTCTAGCAATAAGTTCATTGGATGAAAAAGAACAAAGCAATGCTTCAATAAAAAAATTAAATTTTATATTTTGTTTATCAAGAAACTTTTTCTAGGATGAAATAAATTGCAACATTAGAAAGAATCTATTATTTTATACATCTGAAAATAATGATATAAATTAGCATAATGCTCTTTTTTCATAAGTTTCCCCTCTTCTACCCCTTGTGGCCAATTAATATCATCAGGATGGTTCATAAATGGTGGATATTTATCTACATTATGCCTCCCTGCCCAATCAAAGTCAATTAAAGATATCCTTCTTGAATCATGATCATATAGGACATTATTTGGTCTTAAATCTCCAAAAACTATGTCATTTTCATGCAATATATTAATTAGATGTTTGATATAACCCTTTATACTTGATTTCTCTTCAGTAGTGAGGTCTTTTATCATATTCAAAGGATAACCTATATAAATCAGATTAGTGTTAGGCATTATCAAATTGGTTGTTGAAATTTTGAACTGAGGTACTTAACATTTACTGACTCCATAATAATTATTTTCCATCCAAATATAACATTATCCTGAACTTCCAGCAAATTTGGTGATTTATTTTCTCTAGCACATAAGTTATGTGCATCAGCATTATATCGTTGAACAAATTTAACAATGATTTTCTGATTTTTAGCTTCTGCAGCCAAAACAAGTGGTTTAATATATAAAGTATAAGTAAATGATACATCATTGAAAGTAGTTGGAAAAGGAAAATAGATTTTGGTGTCAGAAATGGTATCATAAGAGTTAGGTTGCAATTTAGCACAGTAATCAACAAGACTTCTAAAAGATTTACGTAAAGCAGTAAATATTCTAGCAATTTGTGTAAGTTGTGTGTAATCCACTGTAGGGACTATGGGTATCATGTTTATGAGGTTATCTACTTTCACAGAATCTGTAAAAACAATACCTATATAGAGAGATGTTAGTGTATTGATTAACCAAAAAAAATTATACAACATATTTCTTACCAGAAATACATAACCATGGTCCTGCTGAACATAATAAAAATGCTGGGCAAACAAGATGTATCTGAAATTGCTTTATAATGTTCAGGCTTTCCATCCCATTTACCTGCCCAAAACTTTGTATAACAAATAGATGCTTGTAAAAATGGATCACATCCTTCTGTAGAAATTTCATTTTTCATATCATGGATGACTATTGGATAAAATCAACGAATTTTTCTTGATATCTAACATAATTTATACAAGAGCTGAATATCGGTGACATAATAGATATCGTATTTTCAATTTATAAGAATTTCGGTTTTGTTATTTCATAAATGAAGGTAAATTTTGAATTTTTTTTTTTAAATACGTTATTCAATAAATCTTTCATTATAATTGAGTAATTTCTTTGCGATAGCAGAGTTTGGGAATTCGGCAACTGATGTAAAAATAGTTATATTAAATTGAAATTTATTTAACATAATCTTTAATCATGCATCATAAAATGTTAACAATGTATTTTTGTTTACATATAATAAAATAACACGATTAAAAGATTAATTATCTTTAATTTTTTCATCATTTCTCATTGATAATTTACGTAAAGATTCATATATTTTAGGAATAAATATGTAATAACCGACACCAACTGCAATTCCTAAAACTAAAGCTAATTTAAATGCCACGCGTGGAACACCGAATGTCAATGTTTCCAAAACTATTTAAATATTTCATTAATTAATATCCTTGAAATTAGCAATACCAAAAAAAAACATATATATACATGATAATAAAAATTTTACCAATATTATAAATAACAGGTTTAGATTCTTTTTGAGGTACATTTGATACACCTGTATATATTGCCCTCACTCGAAGAAATCGTTTGTTTGTAATTGTTATTTGATTTGGATTCTTTAGTCCAAAAAGAAAAAAAAAATTTTTTTAAAATTTTGTAAAGGAAATATCCATCATAATAAGAATAATCAAACATACTGATTCTAAATAATTCAGCCCTTTTCTTGCTTTAATTATCCTTGCAGCATCCTCTAAACTAATTATTTCCAATATGAAATCTGTCGGTGACTTTACATTCAAATATTTAGATAAATATTGTTATGTGAATGAATAAAATTTATTTCAAAAAAAAAATCCTAATAATAATAACAAAATCTTACTGTTGCTGCATATGAAACTCTTGTTTCATATGTATAATCTTTCTCTAATTCATCAAGAACATACCATTTCTCTTTTTCACCATTTAAATCATTATTAAACTCCTCGTAATTCTTAAACGGTACAATACTTTCATAACGTTGGATGGTATATGGGGGTTTTAATGTCTTTATTATTTATTTTATTGGAAGATATATAGTATAATTCAGTAGCCTTTAATTAACTTAAAGTTATAAAAGATATTGTATTTTATATAAAATTACCAACCACTAACTTATTCTCTTTGCTCCAAGCCAGTGATTCTTCTAGGCTAGGTATCGAAACTTTATCAGCAATATAATTAAATATTTCTTTTTCAATGTTTGCATATACAATCAGTGTGTAATAAAACAATATCAACAAAATTATGTTTATCCATAAGAAAAATTTCATTTTTTAAATATATGGAGGTTTTCAAAAAGGATAAGATCACGCGCGCGTTAATTCAAATAATAATATACTATGTGGATCATAATTATTGCAACGTTAGACTATTTCAACAAAGAAACAAAGAAATTGAAATCTGTGAATTAAATTAACCAATCAAACCAAACCCATATTTAATTATTTCAGTTTCACATACCACAACACCAAAGAGTTTTCATGAAACCCAAATTTTTATCTATGACGCATAAGAAAAGATTCAAATCAACAATAAATTACATGATAATAATAATAATAATAATAGTAACTAGTAATAATAATAATAATAGCTTAGGTGTTTGATAATGAACATTACAATCTAACAACATGCGATTATAGTAAATTATTTGTGTATTAGTTTTAATGTTTAAGATTCTAATGAGATGGATCATTATTTCTAACATTCTTTAAGTACGGCGAAGATTATTTGGATTTGAACCTTAACAACGATTCATCAAATCTATATATAACTTGGTGCATCATATTTAAATTCAGACAAACATCTTTAATTATACACATTGCAAGATGAATATCATGCATGGAATTCATATGAAAATATTTGAAATCTCCCAAAGCACAATCCTATATCACTTTTTTAGGTATATTCTTTACTGAGTAATGCTTCAGAATAAACTACTTTTTGTGACGAGGTTTTATTGGTCTCGTAAACCCCATATCATAATACACATTCACAACATTATGAAAGTCACGATGTACCGAGTTTGCTTCATGACCTTTAACGGTATCCTTCTCTAATGTTAGCTTTTGTCCTACAAAATCCATTATCATTATTCTTAGCATTTTTTTATTAAATAAATAAAAAACTGAAACCAAGTTTCAAAACAAAATAATAACAACAATTATCGTCATCATTTTAAAAAAGTTTGCCTCCTCTAAAAAAATCAGCTGTAACATCATTAGAAACATCCAAAAATTTTAAACATTTTATTAGAAAGCTTATTTCTCATCCACCTCTTTTTTTTAGGATCATATTCTTTTATTAGTCCATTCAACTAGTAAGCTGAATAAACACTCCCAAAACCATCTGTTCGATACTTTTAAATCTTCCGGGCGGTACCCACTCAACACGATTGGTACATGTAGTAACATTTAATTGAACGTCTCTTGTAAAGTCATATATTTCTTTATTTCCACTAGACTAAATTGTAAATCCTTGATGAAAATCTTCGGCCTTGCACGGTTGATACCAGTTATTTTCAGTTCTAGTTTTGCCACATTCTTTACATTTACCATGAAACGAATCAAAGATCATTTTCTCAAACTCTCGAAAATTTTTTGTTCAACATTGGTTTTCATTGATCAAAAAAAATAATAAATCACGTTACACGAAATCCAATGGTGAAACCTCTCTCTCATTGAATAAAAAATCAAATGGAGACACAATTAGAATTTCAACAACAACAACAACAACATTATCATCAAGAGCAAGAACATGTAGAGGTGCAAGAAAAAGAAAAGGAAGCAAATTGTACTCATGTTCTTCCTATAGAAGGCTCGCAAACCACAGTCCCACAACAACTTGAACCGAATGTTGAAGCTATTGATTATAATAAAGAAGTATTTAATGCTCAAGACACTTCTTCCTTTAGCTCTGGAAACTTACAAACTACACCTATTCAAATACAAAAGCCGAATAGCGAAGCTATTGATTATAATGAAGAGGCAATTCATGCTCAAGAAACTTCAATCTCTGAAAATTCACAAACTGGTGTGCAACAACAAGAACCGATTATCGAGGCTATCAATTATAAAGAAGTTCAAAATATTTCTTTAGAAAACATACAGACAGATAATCAACAACAAAAATCAAACGTTATAGCTATTAATTATAAAAATGAATTACCACCTACTTCATTTAACGCAGGGAATGGAACAGCCGAATTTAGTGATGCAATAGCAAAAGTGAAAGCCATGGCAGCAAAATTACTTGATAATGCTTCTACAATTAGCACTGAAGAAAGCAATGTCGCTGTCCAAGGGCATAGCAACATTAACATACCTTCAAATCATACAACCATAATTAATTCAACAAACAATATGAATGACATGGATATCAATTTAAATAGTAGGTTATTTAATTAATAATATACAAGCATTATTTTTATATCTCAATGTTCCCTATTATTTATCAATATCAAACAATAAATTTTTTTAGAAGCTCAACAGGGAATTAAACGTTCACATGAAGATACTTATAATCCTCATGAATCTAAAGATAGTCATGATGATCGTAGTGATGATTATCGTGGAGATCTATATAAAGGAAGAGAAAGATATGACGAATATGGGAGAGATTTTAAAAGAACAGCTTATGATGTTGGATCACGTCCTGAATGTGAGTAAGAATCGATTAAAATTATTGAATTTAAAAATATTTAATTTGATAATTATGATTAATTATAGATGATGGTAGTGGCAGTAGGAGTCGATATGGTTTTGGAGGTGAAGAACGAAGGTCACATTATGATCCCGGAAATGACATTAATTCTGCCTCAGCAGAGGAATTTAAAGTTCCTAATGCAGTGGTAGGTTTAGTAATTGGTCGCGGAGGAGAAAATTTGAAAAGAATTGAAAAAACAACCGGTGCAAGAATTCAATTTTCTCAAGGTTTGATGACTTAAAAAAATTTCTTGTAGAATTTCTTTAATATAATTATTAATTCATATATTTAAAATCAACAACATTTTATCATATATATATAAAAGATCAACCACCGGATATGATTGAAAGGCACGTTAAAGTTACTGGGTTAGCTGACGATGTTAAAATTGCTAGAGCAATGATTCAAAAATTAGTTGAAGATGCTAGAAATGGTAGTCTGGTTAATCGTCGCGACTCTGCTATGAACGGGCAAAACAAAAATACCGTGATTATTCGTATTCCAAGCAATAAAGTCGGTGTTGTAATTGGTCGTAAAGGCGAAACAATCCGTGATTTACAAGACAGAAGTGGTGCACATATTAACGTCACACCAGATAGTGCCGCAAGTCCTCAATCCAAGAATCGACCTGTTACTTTGATCGGGGATGATGAAGCAATTCAAAGAGCAAAGGCCCTTATTAATGAGATTATCAACAACGGAGAAATTTCTTCAGAAATAGTAATCTGCTTTTAATTTTTTATTTCGATATTTTATTTCGATACTTTCGTCGTCTAACTCTTAAATTATTTATTAGAATCATCACCAAGATCACCGACCAAACAGTCACAATAGCGGTAGCGGTTCTTACAATAATCATGGAGGAAACTATATGAATCATAGTTCAAATTCTGGACATCGCAATCAAGAAAGTATTACCATTAAGGTACCTAATGATTCTGTTGGTTTAATTATTGGAAAAGGTATGTAAATAATATTTAATGATAATTTTCATATTAAAAATTTTAAATTAATTGTATTAATTTTTTTTAAAGGAGGTGAAACCGTCAGAGCCCTTCAACAAAAATCTGGAGCAAAAATTCAAATTGAACCAGTTCATGGAGGAGTTCCACCTATCGAAAGAAACGTACAAATTATAGGTAATTTATATAAATTAATATATAATTAATTATCTCTGATTGCTTATTGTAGATTATTAGTATAAATCGTCGTAAATTCAATATCAATGCTTGACATGTTTCATGTTTATGATGTTGATGATTGATTGTTTTAGGTTCTGCTGAAAATATTGCTATCGCGAAATCATTGATTCTTGAAAAAGCTGCATCCGGAAATGTACTATCATTTGTTATTGCTTGTTGAGTGTGATTGCTATTGTTTTTTGTCCTTTTTTTTTTGTTGACGCTTTTGTTAATCCATGTTATTTAATGACTCTTTTTTATTAACCTTTGTTTGATTTATATGCTTTTTATGCAACCTCTATCATTATTATTTCTTTTTAAATAGCGTGAACGATCATCTAGACATAATGGTGAACAAGGAAGAAAGTAAGTTGGACAATAATAACTAGTTTATGTTTGTAATAAACAAGCTTGGAATTTGATTATTTATTATTATTTTTTTTTAGCGGGCAGCAACAAAATAAACATCAAAGCAACAATTATCAACACCAGTCAAGTACTGCCAATAGTGACATCAGTGTTTATCAACAAACAGGATATTCTACAAACGCTTATCCCACTCAATCACAACCAAATACATATGGTCAACTTATCACAAATGATTATGCTCAAACATCTACCACAAATTATCCTGTTGCTGCTAGTACATATGTTCCATCTGGTCAACAGGCAACCATGATATATAATCAACAGAGACAATATAATCCTAGTCAAACAACATCATCTTATCAATATTTAACTCAACCACAATATGGGACATATCCACAAAATATACAATATGCTCAATCTACAACTGGTCAGTCAACTACCCAATCTGCTGTACAAGTTTCCATGCAAACTATTGGTCAATCTGCAATTCAATCTACAGGGCAACTTCAAGGTAAAAAATCTCGTTTTATTAGTTATATACAAGATGTGACAAACTTATTTAAGAATCTATTTAATTTATTCCAGCTAATTATTACCAAACGGCACCAATTGATCCTACAAAAGTTGCGACCACGGGAGCTGATAATAAAACGGATAATACTTCAGCTCCTGCACCTAATTATGGGTATCAACAAATCCATTATAATTATAATGTTCCTTCGGCCACAACAACTGCAATTCAATATCCATCTGTTGCCGGACAAACTCATGCTGCAATATCAAATGTTTATCCTACGTTAGGTGCTTCAGCTGTTACACCTTATAGCAATACCACCGCTAACATTGGAACTTCTTCAACTAACACAAACGCAACTACAACCACAGATCAGACCACCCAACCAGCCACACTTTACACTGGATATTATGGACAACTTTACCCACAAGATCAACAGCAGCAGTCACAATATTATCAACAACAACAACAACAATAACAACCATATATTTATTCAAATACAACAAATACTACCAGTCATTTTAGTGAGGCCTCAAAACAGTAAATTTTATACAATTATCACATGTTGCGTACATGTTTGAAATCACCAAATATTATTATACTATTGATATATATATATATATATATTTATATTTAATTAATTAATTAATTAATTAATTAACATAGTTTACGACTTATTTTATTGTGTTTATCTTTTGATTTTCGTCCTATTAGATAAAAATTATTAATTATTGGGTAATACTAATGTAAGAAATTATAATAAAAATATAACTAGAACTTTATTTATTCATATTTTTTTTAAAAAAAATCAAAATTGCCCAATTTAAAATTAAATAATTTTAATCTTATATAAATAAGGAACGAATAGTTAAAAAATATACATGAAAGAATAGAGCTCATCATATGCAAACTAATCAATAATTTAAACTAGCTACCCACTGTTATTTCCTTCTCGTCCTTTTCTTTCACTGCCTCATTCTTCTCGTCTTTGTCCTTTTTTAAATCTTTATTTTGTTCAATAGTTATTGATTTTGTTTCTGTGATTGTAGAAGCCTTTTTTATAGAAATCTTTTCAAAATCTTCAACTAATTCTTCTAAATCTTTATCAACAAGTGAAGTTATCGTCTTAGCACCATATTTTTCTTTTAATGCTTTGTGTCCTTCTGTATAAAGTTGTTGCAATTCATCCTTATTTATTTTTTGCATTAAAATTTAAAATGATTTTTAATAATAATAATAATAATAAATAACAATAAATTACTATTATTTACCTCCCAACCACATAATTTTGCTAATTTTTTAACACCTTCATCACATGTGCTTTGTAAGAAAACATCTCTTCTATCCTCTCCTTCAAAGTCAAACCCAAATCCTGGCATATATGTCTAACATATATATAATTGTTTTTTTAATAAGAAAAAAATTAATAGTAGTCAATCATAACAATAAGATCGATCATTGAATGATTTTATACCTCACCGACTTTCTCTAGGTTGATTAATAATCTTGGAATTGTATCTTTAACATCGTCGATTAAACTAGCAAAAGGTTGAACTTGTAAAGAAGTTCCAATAACGATTAAAAGATCACATTTTTTAAAATCCTAGAAAATAATAATAATAATTAGTGTTGATGTGTAGATCTATATTAATATGTACAATAGCGGTAGAAATGAAAAAGCATACTGATAATCTTTCAAAAAAACTACGAGGTAACATTTCTCCAAAAAAGGTTATACATGGTTTAACTAATCCACCGTTACACTTAACACAACCAGGTATCTCGCCTTTATCAACAACTATACTTCTCATCCACTCAGAATCTGCTAATGCTTTGCAATTTAAACATTTTGATTCTGCAAATGATCCGTGAGCTTCAACAATCAAATCAGGTGGTAAATCAGTAAGTCTTTCAAGTGTGTCAATATTTTGAGTAAAACATCTTAAAAGAAGATTACGTCGATGCAACAGAAATATGAAATAATGCGCTAAAGTAGGCTAATTGTCATAGTGATCATATTAAATGTATTGGTTATTTAAAAATAGATTAGAATAAATTGAAATAATTGTCCAATAATTAAAAAGTAATAATTATTTACAAAATATTTTCCAGGATATAATTCCTTTGCCAATGTAAAGAATGGCTCTGGATGTTCCTAAAAAATATTTTTTATAAAAATTTAAAAATTTTATAAACATGTAATTGAAAAAATCTAAATCGTATTTGTTAATTTGATCATACCTCAAAATAATTTATATCAAAAATTGCTTCTGGATATGGTAAATTATATTTTCCTAAATTATCATAGATGCCTGTACCAGGTGTTCTAAAATCCGGTATGCCTACACACAATTTGATTAAAATAAGCTTTATATTTAATTAATGTATATGTGTGTAAATTTACCAGCTGCTGTAGAGATTCCTGCGCCTGCCATCACAATAACATTATTAACTTTTTTTTTAAAAAAAAAATCAGTTATTAACATTCATTTTATTTTTTTAAATACTAATAAAAAAAAAAATCTATATTAACCTTTTCCATTTTTTATCAAGTTTGCAATAGTTTCGATTGTAGGAGAATCTAAGGTTGGAACGAGCTTTTTTTTAATAAAAAAAAAACTGTAATTCAAATTAACGTGTATTGTAAGTTTTAAGATATAAAAAAGGTATTGCAAATACTAACCTTGGAAGTTTTTTCGTTGCTGACAGCAGATTTCGCGTCATCGGTAGAACCTGGCGTGGGAAAAGTTTCTTTATCGTTAGGCATTATAACGTCAAGATCAAATGAAAGCTTTGATTGATATCAAATAAAAGAGAATAGCAGTTTCCCATTAACCGAGAGATACTGCACCGAAAAATATTTATTTTCATGGCAATTAATTCAAAAGCTTACTTTATAAAATATGTTTTTTCAAATGATTTCAACGTCAGTTGCGAAAATCTGCCGGCGATCATACCACAAAGAAATGGGTGGGATATTTAGATCATGTGGTGAACCGAATTAATAACTGCACCTGAATATCCGATTTTTATACAATAGTTTCATTTGCAAGTCTATTTATTGTTTGATTATTTTTTTAATATTAATTTCTTCAATATATGTCTAACTGAATATATTAGGATCATGGTGCCTAAGAACAAATGGTACCATGGAATTGATATTTGAATTTTTAATCCATAATTAGGTACTTACACCTATTGTACCAATAAATAATCATCTAATTTTGATGCTTTATGTATTTTATTTTGTCATTTTCATTTAAAAACGGCCGAAAATTTTTTTTTGGATTTGCATAATTCACTGATTTTTATAAAACATGGAGAATATTTTTATTCGACCACCACCTTCTGAAGATTTTGTTTATTATTCAATATACTTCCCTTTTGCCAACTCTGAAGATAAAAATCAAGCTATAATCTTTCTCAAAGAAACAAGTGCTTTGATTATTTCTGAATTACATCAATTTTTGAATGTTTATATTTGGCAAAAAGATGCTTTTAATTTGAGAATTGTAAACAAAGAATCAGGTAATTATATATTTTTATTTTAATATAAAATAAATATTATTTATATATAATATATTACACATTTAGATCCATATCCTTTTCTTTATGGAAAAACAAGAATTGGTGACTGTATTGAGGATGAATGGTTTATAGTTTTTTTATTAAAACATACATCAGCCAAGTTTCCTGATGCTGTTATAAGGTTTTTATATATGCATACATAAACAATTTTTTTAATCATGATAAAATTTCATTCTTGCTCACTGTTTTTTTTTTTAGTGTTGCAGATAATGATGGAGAGTTTTTGTTAATTGAATCAGCTCAATATCTTCCATCTTGGCTTAATCCTGATAATAGCGAGAACAGGGTAATGTCAAAACCATTACATCTCCTACATTCTAAGATAACTTTATTGAAAAAATTATATATTAACTTTATTATTTTCACTAGAAAATTTCATTTGTTAAATTTAGAGTAAACCATGCAAAATTAATAAAAATATTATTCATATAGGTCTTTATATATCAAAATAATCTTCATATAATTCCTTTGCACCAAACTTCTGCTGCTGATTCACTACATATTCCTACAGGAGAGCTGGCACTTGTAAAGGCAATACAAATAATTCGTAATGATTCAATCAACACTGAAGCAAATGATAAAATTCAACAGTCTGCATTTAATCGAATTTTTGAGTAAGCTAACTCAAAATTTAAAGAGATGCATATTTTTATAAAATATCTAAAATATTCTTTATATTGCTTTGTAAAAGATACCCAGAAAAAATTAAGCAAAATTTCCATCATACTAAATGTCACATCCCAAGAAAAATTGCGCATCTTTTATATTATAATCCTCAACTCGTAGCACCAGCTGTTGAAGCATTTTATACTCGTGATCTTGTGTCATTAAAGGTTAATTAACTTAATGTTACTTTTAATTAATTCTAAAAAAGATTTACAATTGATTTTATTAATTATATATCAGGCATGTCAAGAAATGGAAAATTTTCCACCACGATCATCAATGACAGTTATTGTTAAATTCACAAAAACATTATATGCTCAATTAATAAATCAAAGATTTCATCCACCAAAAATATTTATACAACCACCAATTAATTCTGAAAAATATAAAGCTTTTGATTTAGGAATGAAATTGGTGAATGAATTTAATAGATCAAACTAATACGTATGTATAAATGTAGGACTGAATTAACTTTTATACTATTTTAGGCATGTGGATTTGAGATTTTGTGTAGAAATAAAAATCTATTCTCAAAGGATAAGGGATTAAATGTCGAGGTAAATAAATAATAATAATAGTTATCAAGTATTAAAGTGAAATAATAAATATTTGTTATTTGTTATTCTTTAGAAATACTCTTTTAATTCAGATCCGGAGTGGATATTTTTTCATGACAAATTATCTAAATATGGATATTTTCATAATGAATTACCCGGATCTAAATTATATACTCAACTTGAAAATGTTGCAAAAGAACAATTCCTAAAAAATAAAGTTGAAATGTTGAGTGTTGTTCATTATATTTATTATCTTTTTTTAATTAGTTAAAATATAAATAATTAAATAAAAAAGATACACCATAAATTTAATATTCTATTTTAATATTAGTAATGATGTAGATGATGATCACATTGGAAATGAATTATTACCATTAGAACAAATAGATGAAATATTAAAAAAACCATTAACATCAGATGATCTATTACTCAAAAATAATAATACAGAAGATGATGATTCATGGTTGAATATTGATCCTAAACAATTGGATGAACTGCTTGAATCAAGAAATGAAGGCCATCATGAACAGACACAAAAAAAAGTATTATTTTTGTATGTTATATATTTAATATATATCACCAATTTTATTTAATCTTTTAATAAAAATATTTTAGGAAAATGAAAAAATGCAAGATAACTCAATTGATTTAGACAAGATGATTGATTCATTTAAAAAATTTGTTGATTTTGATCTAACAGGAATTGATGGAGCAGAATTTTTAGAGTATTTTTCAAAATATAATTAATTGATTTTTTTTTATTAGAAAAGATTTTATTATATTAATATATTTGTTATTTATTTCCCATAGTGAATATTTCTCTGATGAAGATTTTGATGATAACAACAGTGACAATGAAGATGAGGATGAGGATGAGAATGAGAATGAGAATATAGTAGATGCTGCTGATGAACAATTTAATTCAACAGAATTTTTTAATACAACTAAAAAAATTTTAGGTGTGATTTAATTATTTAAAAGAATTTACAAAAAAACTTCATTTATTAATTTAAAAAAATCTTTTTTTAGATACTTTTAATGAATCATCTATTAATTCAGGAAAAAAACAAACAGGTATTTTAATAAATATTCTTTAAATAATGATGGTTGTGATAGAAAAGTAATTCATATTTACATATTATATCATTTCTAAAAGTTTGGAATCGATCAAAAATAATAGAAAGTATGGTTGATAGTGATGATGATGATGATTTTGATATGAAGTCTTATATGCAATCAATGGATCACGAAATTTCAAATACAAACATTCCTAAATCATTTATTTATAGTTATCCAGATCAACTGTCCAGTCAATCAAAATCTGAATTAGTAAATTCTTATAATGAGCCCAATATCTATTCTAAAAAGAATGATTTACATGTACAGGGTGATAATGATGATGATAAAGAATTAGATAGATCAGTTGATATTGATTTAAATCTTATAACAAACTTACTAGAGAGTTTCAAAGCCCAAGAAGGCTTGCCTGGTCCTGGTGGAACTATTTTTGGAAAATTAGGGGTTGGTGCAATTCCATTAGATAAAGAAGAGGAAGAAGAAAAAGATGATGATGATGTGAAAGTGAAGAATAAATAAATAAATAATATTTACATCTTAATTTTCAATTTATTTTTATTGGCCAAATGTTTTATTGAATTTATAGTTGCATTTTTTGAAAAATGATTTTTGTTATTTAAAAATAGTCTGACAAATCTGCACCTCATATAAATCTCTAGATTTACTTAATGTTTTATTTAGCTTATACAACTGTGGCTGAGTGTCTCTTGATAGTTTAATTCTCAATTGCAATTGCTTTTCTTTTGTATATGATATTAATAGTGCTGGGTCTATTAATCTGTGTGGGGCAAGTTTTACTTCCCCATCCAGTAACATTTTCTCAGCAGTTCTTTGTTATCTGCATTGAAAATTTTGGTGGATGAAGTTTATGGGTTTTCTTTCTTCTCGGTAAATTTCATAGATAATCCTTTATTCCTTAGATAAACTTCCAATGTCTGAGTATCATTTATTTTGAAAATATAAGGAGCAATCTTTTCTCCTTGTTCTTTCTTCAAAATATGCTGTAATTCTTGGGCTCTGTGGTAGATTTGAAGTAAATGAGTTTCATATTAATCAAGGAGCAATTGGTGTTGAAAAATCCGGTGTAACGTTACATTAGGATTATGTGTGCACAAAATGAGTTAATTAAAATTTAAATTTGCTATACATATGCAATTATAAGTAATTTTTATGTAGGAATTAAATTTATAAGAACTTAAACAAGAATAAGATTATACATGGGATGGTAATTATTTTGCCAAAAACGTAATACATAATACGTAATTACAAAATTAATTACGGGTGATGAAATCAATTACACATGACGAAATCAATTACGAATGACAAAATTAAATGACACCTGTTATTTATCTTGTTATACTAGTATAATGACATAATTTGTCAACTTTTTTTAGAATTATAGAATTTATTCTGTTATAACGACATGTCAGTATAATGGGAGAACCAATCAAAATCATTCTCATTTCTGAAAAAACATAAGGAAATAAAACTTACGCCGGGATCAAGATTGACCGGCACCATGGAAAATTCTGATAACACTTCTGTATAATGCTGGTCAATTTTGACCCGGCGTAAGCTTTAAATTTCCTGATAAAACATGAATGAAATAAAAATAAAATATTAAAAATAAAAATACTAAATCACGTGATAATGATTCTCATATGACTCCTATATGAACTCCTGTTATAATGACATTCTCGTCATACTGACATACGGAGAGTGTTGTTATAACGGGAGTGACTTGTATTATGATATTTCCAATAATTATTTCATTGTTATTCATAATTGATTTCGTCACCCATAATTGATTTCGTCACCCGTAATTAGTTTCATCACCCGTAATTAATTTCGTAATTATGTTTTTAAAGAGGAAAATGGTAATTAACTACGATAATTACGTATTTACGGTAATTATGCAATTACCATCCCATCCCATGTATAGTGTCAACAACGGTTTGCATAGAAAATTTTCACAATAGTAATTAATTTGTCGCCTGTAATTAATTTCATCACCCGTAATTAGTTTCGTCACCCGTAATTAATTACATAATTACGTTTTTAAAGAGTGAAAGTGGTAATTAATTACATTAATTACGAATTACGTATTTACGGTAATTAGCTAATTACCATATCATGTATAGTTGTAAAATAGTTTTTTGTTTTATATGAATTAATTATTTTTCTAAATTTTCTGTTTTTTTCTTTGGCACTAACCAATTTATAATTTTGGATAGGGGACATGAGCTTTTGCCCTGTCCTATAGATCATATGATTATATATATCTTTGGCCAAATGAATACAAAGTGGAATCTCTTAATGGACCAACAAGAGGAATGTCATAAAATTGGTAGGACTTTTTGCTGAATTCAATTTGTTGAAAATCAAGAAAGAGATATTTTTGAAGAAATTAAAACTTTATCTATTTTAGTATTAACACCTCCTCCTTTGAATTACAAAAGACAAAAATATCTTTACCAAATATTAGTCCATTTGTGAAAGATGAATACAGAGATATTACTTGTCCAAGACCATTCTATACTTGCAACAAATAAAATATTCAGAATAAAAACACTTTCATGACTTCATCACTCATTAATTTGTCTCCTGCTGTCATTAAGTTTAATAAGTTTAATCTTTTTGACAAACATTGTTAGCTTTTTCCACTTTTAAAGTAAAAAAGTACTAAAATAATTTATATACTTAATATGCCCTCATAAAAAGGATATAAGTATATTAAAAGAGCAAATAAAAGGTAATAAAAAGAAAGTCATGACAAACATTATAAGTGAACTCCAAAAAAGTAATAAAAAACTAATAGAAGAAAATGAAAATTTAAAGAAACAATTAGCAGATAAAGTAGAAAATCTTAAACTAAAAATCTGACATTTTACTGGTCAACCTGATGATGGAGATGGTGGAAGTAGCCTTTATACCCCTGCTGGCTATTGATGATACAAGAAATTAAATAAGGAATGATTAGATGAAGGTAAATTAAGAATGACAGCAGACCCTAATGAAACTAGAAAATTAGCTAAAAACTGCAAAAGAGTTTGATTTGATAATATCACTATTGAAAAAATGTTAGAATAATTTATTGATAGTTCAAATGAATTAGGTAGATCTTGTTCTAAGTATATTTCACAGTGAAGTGAAAGAGGTTATAAACTTACTGAACAAAAGAGAGAATATGAAAAGAAAATTAAGGCATTAGAAGAAGAAGAAAAGGAATTAGAAGAAGCATTAGAATTGGAGGAGGAAACATATGAATGTCATTTAGAGGCTTCTGAAGTAGCTAAACAGTGGAGAATAAGACAAAGTAAAGAAAAGATGACAAATTAGAAAAAGCTTTGAGAAAATAGAAGTTCTAGAAAATATTGTGGCATGACAGAAATATTTGGCAGACAAGCAGTTTCAAGAACTACCAGTTTTACCAAAGAAAGAGGGCAAATTTATACTCCTAACTAACAAAGTAAAGAACAAAGTTAGCCAAGTAAAAGTAATAACTCAAGAAAATTTTGAAACCTATATCTTGCAAAAGAATAAATAGCATGAAATTAGAATATCAAGTTAATGAGCTGAGGAGAAGAGATAAATGGCATTGTAATTTCTGTGCTTTTGAAAGAGAAAGGAGTTTAACTACTACTTAGAAAATAGTATCTTACAATACAAGCAATAATGATTACAATGACATTGCTTATATTTGTGTTGAGTGTAAAAAAGTTCTTGATGTCATGATACTTTGCCACATTGTAATGATTGTGGTAGAATTATGAGAAACAGAATAGGCTGTTTTTGTGATTTAAGGAAAGATGAACCAGTCAAAACTCCAACCATAACAGAAATAATGGCACAGAGTTATGCTAGCAGATTAGAACAGCAGAATAAAGAATTAACTATCCAGTGCTAAGGAAGAAATCAGTTCTCATTTGGAAGCTTTAGAAGTTCAAAGGATTGGCATAATAAGTAGAAGCAAGAATTATTAGATAAAATTCAAAGTCTTGAAAGTGAAGTTGAACAGTTAAAGAAACAGCAGACTCAACTAACTGCTCAAATTGAAGTTAAAGACACTAAAAAATGACCTTGATTGAAGGAAAATAAAAGGTAATTAAAATTAACAAGTTGAAAAAAAGTGATTATTTGTTTAGTTATCCTGCCAGTTTTCTTTTTTTTTCTTGATTCTTTACTAGAATTCTCTAATGCTCTTGAAAACTCTTTCCTCTTGATAAATTTCATAGGTAGTCCTTTCTTTGTCTAAATATGTTTGCAAAGATTTGGTATCTGGTAATTTAAAAATGTAAAGAGTAATTTTCTCACCTTGTTCCTTTTTCGAAATACTTCTAATGGTGCTGTAATTCTTGGGTTCCATATTAGACCTTATGTAAATGAGTTTCATATTAACTATATTTGACTAGACAAATACCATGATCACATTACATGATAATATAATTGTGATGTTAAAAAACGATATTGATCCCTGAAATCCTTGGTAATACCAATGTTCACTTTATCTGGTTTTGTTGCAGCAAGCATGCCCCATATAAAATATAAGTTAAGAATTGTCAGAGTACTTGCATGGGAAGAAAATACTCAGACCCAAAGCCATTTGTAAGTATTACCTATTATTTGGGCACTCTGACAAAAATTTAACTTCCACAATATTATTAATATTTGTATCTTTGTTTTCATTACCTTCATCAACTTTACTCCCCCCTTTTCTTTGTTGACTCATTACTGAATTGCCTCTAGTGTTTTCCTTCTAGGATTTGTTTTTCGTTTATAGAAATTTTTAATAATAGTGGCAAGCAACTTCTTTTTCACCAAATAATTCACGAATTTCCATGGCCATTTCACCAAATGAAAAATCGAGATTCAACACAGTCTTTTTGCCAAATAATTGCTTGAAATCCTTCTATAGATTTTCTATTTCGTGTGAATGTTTTAAGTTGGTTTGTTTTATTTTAAATTATCTTTTTCTTAATTCTATTTTATCCCATTTTATTAATTATATTCAATAAATACTCAATCATTTATCCAAACTTTATCCATATTATTAATTAAATTTATTCATTTATTCAATAAATTCTCATCATTTATCCATTTTTATTAATTAAATACACATCAGTGAAACCTCCATTTTTTTATAAAAAACAAGAATTATAAATTCCATGAATATAATAATAATGTATATTTATTAATATAAACAAAAAAACACCGAGATTAATTACGGAGTAAATTTTTTACAGGGCAAATAAAGCAAAACAAGAACAAGCTTAATATTAATATGAATGGGTCATTATCCGATTACTTTGTTTGGAGGACAAGATCGATCGACAAAGTGGAATTATTTATTTATAATTAATTATTATTATGGTGTCAATTTTTAAATTAAAATTCCAAATAAAGGAGTGTGTGAGAGAGTGTGTGAGTGTGTGTGATTAATCAAACATGTAGATTTAGATGATGGGGGGAAAGCATATTAACAATTAATTTTTAATTTTGCGTAATAATTTGTATTATAAAATTGAGTATTTTTTATGTTTGTAAAATAAGAACCATTCCATTACCATCTACACCAATGTCTCATTTCTCTTCACCTGCAAGTTTTTATAAAATGTCTTCATATAAACGATTTTACATGAGATTTATCTGCATTTTTGTATTTTTAATACAATTCATTTCACAACATTACGTTGCTGCTGCTGATAATTTACCAATTGGACAATGTGTTGTAACTTATGATGCAAATACCGATTATTTTCCAACCAAAGTCACTGGTAAGGATGGAAGAAATAAAGGAGAAGAATGGAATCGAAAGAAGAAATAAAAATTTTTTTTTGATAAATTAATTATTCTAACGTTCATAACTTTTTTCCGATAATTAATTATAATAGTTGAACCTTCCCAATTTTTTAGTATTCAATACTTTAATAATTATAAATTGTTGACTAATACACAAACCAAAGAAGCTTTTGCCCTTTATCAATGCGGAACACCAGCCCCAACTAATTTACCAACCGGAACCAAAGTATTTCCAATTGCTGCCAATAAAATAGCTGCATTGGATACTACTAGTGTTTCTTTCCTTGAGGTATTTTTTAAAAGTTAAAATAAATAATCATAATAATAATAATAACTAAAATATATTTTTTACGCTATAGGTTCTTGGACTTAGATCCAATATAGTCGCATTAGATTCAACTGCAATGGTTTCATCGCCGTGCATTCAATCATTGAAGGAGAAAGGTAGCATTACTCAGCTTTCTAATGATGTGGCATTACGTGAACAACAACTTGGAGCAGTTGATGTAGCATTTGGCGCATTTACAGCTGATCCTAAAAGCTTGAAATCTGTGAGCACGTCTTCAACATCAGATCCAGGAACACTTAATCGTGTTGGATGGATAAAATTCTATTCAGTTTTCTTTAATCTGGAAAAGAAATCCACTGATATTGTTACTCAGATTAGTGACAACTACAATTGTTACAAAAAAATGGCAGTCGATCATCCACTAAAAGAAAAACCATTAGTTGCTTGGATTTCTTACGTTGCTCCAGATGAATTCAACAATAATACTGCAACTTGGAATATTGCTGATGCAATTTACAAGAAACAATTCACTGAAGACGCTGGAGGTGTCTATTTTAATGCAACAACTCTTGTCTATAATGACGCAAAAAGCTTTCTTCAAGCAATTGCAAATGTTGATATTGTGATTGATGAGACATTTATTGGAGCGACAATTGCAGATTTTTACAAGAATTACAATCTGAGCGCTGATCAGACCACTTACAAGTTTATCAAGAATAAAGCTATTTATCGTGAAGATGGTATCACTAATCCAATTGATGGCCGTGATTGGTTTGAGAGTGCAATTGTTATGGGTGATGCAGTTTTGGAGGATATGATCAATGTGGTGAATCCATCATTGCCAAGTACTTCCTATAAAAGAAATTGGTTTAGAAATATTGCAAATGATGAAACAATCAAAATTTCTTCATCTGCTAATTGTACTGATGTTCAGTCTAATAGCATTGTTGTGAGTATTATTTTATGAAAATTAAATTATATAGTTGAATAATGATTTAGAGAACTAGTAAAATTAATGATTAACCTTTAAAATTTTTTCCTTTCAACAAATTTAGTCAAAGGCAGATGTTTGTTCAACAATTACCGTCAAGTCAGACAGTTCGACCTTAACTTCCAATCTAGCAACAACAATCTCTCTCTCAATTTTATTCTCAATGGTCTTATTATTCATTAATTTTTAATGAAAAAAATGAAAAAAAAAAATTATAACTAATGCAATCAAAATTTTGTAGTATGTACTAAGCTTTTATAATTAATTTTATTTATAATAAATAGTGTAAGTTACACATCGAATATTTCCACAACTATTTTTCTACTAATACTAAATAATAATTATTGTATTAATCGAAACTGATCTTCGAGTCATGTGTTTTATTGAACTATTTTTTATTTCGCATGATCCAATGGATGTTGGAGAACGAAAACAAAACATGTAAAATATTGTCCTCGTATTTAAATTTTATCAATTAATGTATCTGCTGATGTATTCTGACTGGTGTGTTCTCATCCAAGTTATCTGGTATATATAGTATGTACAAACTAAACCTGGCATATTGACAGGATAGGATTAACGTTTGTAATGTTTTAAATGGTGAGGGTTATTGTGGCTGATGACTAGACTTTGAACGATTACGTACCAAATAGGACAAATAGGATACGATGCGATGATGCTTAATGTAGCAGTGGTGATAAGCTTGGAGATGGCATTGTGGCAATAGTTAGGATGGAGGTGGCAGAACTTTGAGGACTCTGACAAATTAATGGTTGTACCAAGTGTCATGTGTCTAGACCAGGGCTGGAAATGATATTCGGATTTTCCCTTAACTTCTGAAAATTTATCTCCTGGGGTTGGAACAAAGTTAAATTCCAAATTTCACTATTTTCAGCCCTGGTATAGATTTTGAAAACAATTCTGATTGTATTAACAATATGTAGTAACAAATATTAAAATTTCAAGTTTTTCTAATAAATTTGATTGTCTTTAATATTAACCAATTGCCCAAAAATCTGTACCATAATACATGTGAAATGCTGACTGTGAAATATAATTTTGTTTCAAACAAATTTTAAAAAATCCAAATTCTTGAAAATTTGATTAAAAATATGCCGCAAAGGATTCAAACTTGTATTGAGAATGAATTAAATATTGGCTGTAGATAATTATGACAGCAATAAAATTTCAAGCCTAATTATTTTATTTTATTTTATTATATTACTCAAGCTGCAGAAAGGCTTGAAGCATAAAATTTCATCATAACCTGCTACATACATACCACTATATATAATTTTATGAGTTGTTAATATATAAGTTTTGTTCCAATTCTTTTGTCCTGTGTATATCACTAAACACTCAAACAAACAAAGGTTAAGCGTTTTTGATATTTAAAGATTTTTGGATTTTTCTTTTTTATAAAATTAAAAGATGTTTGGGTTGAGTGCTAACATGTTGATTGACCATCCGACACGCAATATTAACTCGTAATTCCATTTTGAATATTCGAGTATTCAAAAAGGAGTTAATGAACAGAAAATGGATACAATTCTCATTTATTAACCATTTTAATAAAATTTCTGCCTTCCTTTATTAACATCAAAGAGGGAATCAAATTTGAAAATATAGAGAATAAGAGGTGCAAATGGAAACATAAGAAAGATAAATATACGTTGATAGAGAACAAAAGCATTAAATATAAATTTTAAGATACATATATTTTCAAAAGTATGAGTTTTTTTGGTGCCGCTGCGTTGTAACGCAATCGATATTTCGGGCATACAACTCCAGATTATCCTTATGGGGTTTCATAGCATCACAAGCATATCCTAATTTTCTCTGGAATAATCCCGAGTCGAAATCATTGTTGACCACCGGTTGACTGATCCTTTCTAAATTGGTTTTAATTTTTTGAATATCGGAACTAAACTCACCCCAGGTATCGCTAAAAAATTTTATTGTATTACCCAATTCACGTGTGTTTTTTACAACTTTTTCACTCTTTTTGTTTGACCTGGTTTGCTGCGTATTGTAAATAGAAAATAAATCAATAAAATAGTATGTGTGATTTTTTAAAGTCAGTCAAATAGCAATATTATTCTACAAAATTACAACCACTCACAAAAGCAACTCGCGATTTGATTACATAATTTTCCAGCGGCTTTTTTAAGTTCTTCGTTGTCAGTAGTGTTTGATTCTTTAAAATTTTTACATAATCTAGAGTATGCAAAATTCATAAACGCTATTGCCCACTCAGATAGTGCTTCATACAGAGTCTTGATGGTCACGTTGCGATACACTTGAATTTCATTAAAACCCCTACTAGCCAAAAAGGTTTTTACGCTGTCACAGAGTTTGTCGAACTTTTTTCGAACTCCTTCCGCTTTATTCCGGTTCAATTTGGCCTCCTGTTAGAATATTTTGGATGTGGTATCATAAAGGTTGAATTAACCAATAATATTTCAAGGCTTTTCATGATTTCAGCTTATAATTACCAGGATATAATTTTCCAAAGAATTCAATTTCTCTTGTATGGTATGATTGGTATCTTGAAGAAAAGGAAGTTCCACGTTGGCGAAACTTTGCATAAAATTGTCCAAGCCAGAGATCTCATCTCTCGACTCCTGCAAAACTTCACGCCAAGTTTTTTTCAAGTGTTTCCATTTGGAAGCAAATTTTTTATTAGACTTCCAGTCGATTGATACGAGATCGATATGAATTGAATCAAACAGCTCGTCAATTTTTCGGGCTTCTCGAGCGAATTTTTGGATTTCTGAGTTAGCATTTGGTTGCGAACTCATTATAGTGAAGATCGTATAATTTAATATATATACTAATGTTTCAAGGAGGTATTTTTTTTTTTTGAGTTGTTTTTTCTTATTATTGTGAATATCTAGGATAAAAATTTTTATTAATAAAAAAAATTTTTCGTAAAAAATTTTTTATTTACCAACATCAATAAATAACAATTTAGAAAATTGATTCACTTTTAATTTGGTATTAGTATTAGTATTAGCTTCGATTTCAAAGATTTTTAGAAAATCGAAATCGAAATCAAAATTTAGAAATTAATAATATTATATTAATTAATATTAACCCAAATAAACATAGATTTCTAGAATTTATTTGCATTTTTTTCTTTTTAATCGAACAAGGCGGCAAATAAAGGCTAGAGCTATGGTAATAATTATAGCTTCCAAATGTTGTAAATAAGAACCTCGAGTTGTAGAATTACTATTTGTCATATTTAAAGCCAAAAAGATGATCTAATTGAACTTTCAATTTCAAAACTAAACAAACACTAATAAATAACATGTGAAAATTGAATTCAAATTCACATGCACAACGTAGATTACCTGGACAAAAGTATTTGATGTAATAAATATAAATTTTATGTTGCTTAGGTTTTGAAGAGTGTATATTGATAATTTATATTTCTTTATCATTGAGAAAAATAAAAATAAAAATAATAAAGTTCAGCACATTCCACTTTTCAATTCTGAACTCGTCAAGTGGTTGCCTTGATCTAAATTCATTTGTGATAAGGTAATAAATTCTCCTCTAAAATCCTAATTATTCATCTTCTTCTCTACTCTAACTAAAGGAGCTTTTTATCAACAGGATAAGATTTTCAATATCATAATATTGCCATCTCTACTATTGTAAATCGAGATTAATCACTCCATACCATTGTTTTCACTTCCTAACACTCCAGGAATTTTCTCTTTGTTGTTCAGATAAAAGGGTTTTACTGCTCCAATGCATGAATAAATATTAAGCTTATACAATTGTTTTTAGTAGAAATCTCAATTCCACTTGCTTTTGTGAGTTTTGCTTTTTAGTTTATCAGTAGAAATATGATTATTTTTATTTAATATTCCATTTATTTTTTTAATCTAAAATTGTGGGCCTTCTACTTCATGTATACTTTTAACATCATTATAATAATGAATTATTGTGTATCAGACCATGCTATACCCCTTATTAATATAATTTAGATGGTCAACCATCACTTCCAATTCATGCTTGAATTCTTCCAGATTATGCTTTCTATCAAATTTATTAAACTATTCTCTTTGGAAAGCAGTCTTAAGTTCATTCTTGTTTTTAAATTTACTAGACTATTAACAAAGACACACCTCCACAAGGACCAATTATCTGACCATGTTTATTGTCAATTAAATCTGACATTTCTACCAAAATGTCTAATTTTTAAAATTAACGAAAACCTTTAAAGTTCTAGGAGATGAAATTTTATATAGATAATCTTCAGAACCAATCTGATGTGATTTGTGTGGTTATGAATTTGGGTGTCCAATATAATTAAACATTTTGCAACTTAGCAGTTTGGTTTACCAAATTATCTTTCACATCTCTAACATTTTTATTAAATTAATGAAACTCAATATTCTATCAGCTGCATCAATTCTTTTTGGCACACTCTCAATCAAATTTAATAGGACACCATTTGTAATTTTATCCATTCTTTTTGATTTTTTGTGATAACACTTTATGAAATAATTTGAACATGCTGTAATTTTAAAAGAGTTGTTTTTTGGAAAATAAATGGTTTCAAAAGTCAAAAAAAAAAATTTTACCTAGTGCAATAATTGCATTTGGCTTTTCCATCTACAACTGTGAACTGGTTCCGCACTTCATTTCTTGTTCTTCTTTGAGCACATTGATTGCACTATGCCTGTTTAAGAAGTAATTGAAGAGGGATTTTCAACAATGCAATAATTGTCATTCATCATTAAAGATGGCTCCTCAATTAGTTACAACTAATTACAGCATATGAAAATTGAATTGCAGCTAATTGTGGTTCCCTATTCATCATTGTTATATTTATCATTTAAATTTAAAACAATGAATTATATAATCATTGTGGACTTTTTTTTTTTTGTAAAGAAAAAAACTTTATTTTATTTGCACAATAATACAATGATTTATTTTTCCAAATAAAATCAAATAATAATATATTAAATAATAAATATAAAAATTTGTGTTTTTATCAATTCACTAATTCCTTATGATCTCTAAATTTTATTGTAAAAGGTTTGGATCCTGTCCAATTCTTTATTAGATTATCAAAAGAATTGATATCAATAATATAAAAACTACAAGGAAATGTTATTGACTTTAATTTTTTTGGTAATGTTTGATTTAGCACTGAAAGTATTTCATCACCACCATCAAATATAACCAGTTCAATACTTTCTAATTTAATACAATTGTTGAATACTTTTGTTAACTCCTGGTTTACTTCATCATTATAAAATATTGATAAACTTACTAGATTTTTACATTGTTGTGCAATTGATTGAAATAGTTTTCTCAAAAATTCACTATTACTCTCACCATTGCTAACATCCAGATATTTAAGAGTTTTTCCATTGATGTTAATAAATTCAGACAAACCTGATAGAGATAGTTGTTTGCGTTGATATACCACCACAGATTCAATATTTGGAAGTGAAATATTTTTCAACAATTTTGTTTCATCAGCAGAATAAAAATTAAGTGACAAGGTCTTTAAATTTTTAAATGCTGGTAATAATATATGATTTATATTGTTTAATCCACCATCACTTGAATAATAAATTATTGACTGTGAATGTGTGAGAATTGCTTTTTTAAAATTATCTGATAAAATTTGACAAGAGTGGTAATCAATGGCTAATTGCTTTATTTTATTTTGTGCTTTAATTAAGTGAGCCAGACTATCTAGAAGTTTATTGTCACACATATTAAACACTTCTAATGATTGAATACATTTGCAAATATTTGCTAATTTATCAATAAATTCATTACTAACAGAATTACTACAAACTAATTTGTTAAGATTCTGAAAACAATTATCAAATCTAAGATGATTATTTAACTGATAAAAATTTATATTAACAGCATTAAACTCTCTAATAACTGCTGAATGATCTAAAATAAAATTTGCTATCCCAATCTGTAAAATAATTAATCCGAAAGAATTTGTCAACAGTGATTGAAAACAATAATATTGACTAAAATAAAATCTAGTACAAAATCTAGCATAATTATATAATGGTGATTTATCCAATAGCTCAAAAGTCAATTTAATACTATTCCTTGTTAAGAAATCTTTATCTTCTTTCAATAAACAATTAATTATTATTTTGACACTACCATAAGAATAAAGTGGATTTTTCCATAAAATTGGAAGGTTAATATTATGCCATTGTTTATTGACAAGTATGCAAGAATATAATGTTTTATAATCATCATTATTGTATTTAAATACTTCATGTAAAAGCTCAAGTGGTAAAATCATTGTTGATTTTTTTCTTTGCAAGAAAAAAAAATTAATTTTATTTGTTGCACAATAAAATTTTTTTTCTCAACCAATTAAAATGATAATTGACCATTATTTAGAACTGTTGTGCGTGAAAATGAAATCTATGTGAATTTGCAATTCACATACATGAAATTCAAATTAGCCAATCAGAATTTCATATCCAAACACCCCACCACCCCAAAACTTCAATTATAAATTTCGATTTCACATAGTTTCATAACTATAAAAAAAACTGACATTGAATCATGTGATGAATATTTGGCTTTTTAATTGATTAACATTACCATTTAAAATAAATAATAAATCAGAGTTTTACAGGAATGAATTGATTTCTTAAGAAATAAGAATAGCAAGAACAATGATAATGGAATTAACATTAGGATAAAATAATTTGTTGGGAACAAATTTTTTACTTTTGTTGGGTGTTTGATTTAAAACAAGGATCAAAAATTCTGATAAAATTGGTTCCTTTGATTCCTTGCAGATCAAATCAAATTGAATAACATTATTGAAACTTTCTTTATGATTCAATTTTATTTCAATTTTTATTATTATTATTTGTAGTGTTTATAAATGATAAAAATGTTAAAAAAATATATATAAATGTTGAATATAAAAATACTAATAAAATGGGACATACTGCAACAAAACCAGACAAAGTGAACATTGATATTACCAAGAATTTCAGGGATCAAAATTTAGTCATTTGTAA